TATATATACATATATATATATATATATATATATACATATATATATATATATATATCCAATCCAAGGTAACCAAATTAAACGCTCTTCGGTAATTCAGTGAGTATCATTAATTAATTCCCTTCATCGTCTATTTACGTTTCGATTTTCATATTTTTTTAACCTTGTAAACTTGCTACAAAATCATTTTCGACAAATGCCTCTAAGAATTCTCTTATTCTCCATTTAAATTCGCTTCTCGGTTTATATATTGCATTTTAAGTTTTTATTTTCTTGAATTTTTATTTTACTTGATTGTTTTACTTTGCATTTTCTTTTAATTTTACATTTTTTAATTAATATGTTTTGTTTTTGGCTATATTAACATAATATTATAAAGCACTATTTTTTCCGATATAATCCAGTGAGCTGATGACTATTTTTTTTTTTTTTTTTTNGTTCCCTTGTTCTCTTTTTTTTTTTTGAATTTCAAAAGAGATCTAAATTTGTAAACATACACAGGGTCTTAATGGAAAATTGTGATTTCTTTCAATAATTCAATAAGTATAAGTGTAAAGTAATGCTTGGAATAACATATTGACGAAGTTACTTTTGTAGCATTCTCAGTCCAAATATCTTCGCTCTGTCTTCTTCTGTAGTTCAAACATCTTTTTTCATTTTAGTTAGTTATTTAACATTTTAAACTAAAATTGCCTGAAGGTCAGTAATTTAAATTGAAAACTGAAATAACTGAAGTATTTTACACACAAAATATGTGCACTAGTCACATTTAATATCACTTATAGCGAAATATTTTATTCAGAACTGATAGAATGTTACTTTGAAAACAAGTTTATTTCGCTTTTCTTGCAAAAACGCTAACGTGAACCTAATTTGCGCCAGCTTCATTAAAAGAACTGGCTTTTCTCCCAGTTAATTATTTGGTTTATTATTAATTATATTATAAATTTAAAATCTTTTCACATTCTTCCCAATTAAATTCTTCATAATTACTACAATTCATATCAAGAGCCTTGGCGGCTGAGGGGATAGAGCTCTCGCCTCCAAATGAGGTGACCCGGATTTGAACCTCAGCAATGGATGGGCAATCCGAATTCTTCACCCGGCTCGCACTCATCATAGTGCTGACGTAAAATATCTTCAGGGGTAGGCGGATCATGGGTTAGAGTCCCCTTGCCGTTAGGCTAACCGTGTGAGGTTTTCGCTGTTAGCCTCTCCATGTAACGCAAATGCGGCTTAGCTTCCTCAAAAAGTCTTCCATGAAGACAAATTCTCCCAATACTCGATCTAGAATTTCCCTTGTCTTCTGGATTTGGTTTAAAATTACAAGGCTACAGAGTTGAACGTTGATATTCGTAAACTCAAAATTGTGACGGCTGTTCAACGCCGGATATAAAACAAAATTCATATCAATAGAATCCATATTTGTTTGTTGCCTCCTCATTGAACAATATAATACGAATTATTCCATAGAAGTGGAACACTGCATATACTGTATGAAATGCTTAACATGATTTTTGGAATCTCTTTCTCCAAGCAAAATAAAAAAGGCCGCCGTTTAAATGCCTTAGACTTGAGGCAAAGCAATAATTTTAAAATATAATATATTACCATCTTGCAGTAAAGGGTTCTCTGGGCTTTAGAACACAGACAAATAGCTTAAATATTTTATATGTTTTTAAACTTTTTGTGAAAAATCTCCAATTTGGCGACATTTTCACACCCAGATAAACATTATCAATGTCTGTTTCTCATTTTTTTGTAAATTTTTATTAGCCCAGATAATGCAGCATTAGAGTAAATTTTTAAATATTAAAAAATTAGACCACAAACGCTTTTTATTTTCTGAAAACAGCGGTTTTCCTCCATATTGATGTGTTGCACCATTTTCAGATTAAACATATAGGGCGCTGGCTAAAAGATAGGCTAAACTTGATTTAAAAGGCATGAGTAACCGTTGTGAACATACAGTAGTTATGAAAATTCATTTTATTCACAAAAAGGAGTTATTACATACGACTACGGAGCCTCCGTAAAGGTTCCAGAGGTATTGATTTGTTATTGGAACATGGAGGAGTTTGTGACCTGACGGATTTAACGCGTAGACATGCCATCGCAATTTTGATTCTCTGTTGAGGGTATGACTTAATTGTTTTGGTAGCCCAACAACCTGCGAGCGAAGTCGAGCACTTTGCGATAGAAAAATTGAGCGAGGAACGATACCGCGCACTCTTAGTCACTACGCAGGCTGATCAAAGTGGTCACTCACCGGCTTACTGACCGCAGCCAGTGATGCTTGATTTCGGTGCTCTACTGGGAACCGTGTCTTTACCATCAGTCAACTGCACGACTCTTTTTATTTAAGATGTTAATTATTTAGTTTCAGTATATGAAAGCAAACAACTACTTTTATTCACGTTTTAATAATATTTCTTGTTTAATTTTTAAAAACTTTTAGAAAATAATCTAGACTAAATAAATGCATAGTATTTGAATTATCGGATTTTAGACTAGAGCAGGGAAATAATCTTCTAACAATAATGAAAAAAATGCTTGGGGCACAAAAAAGTGACAATTACTGTTTTAATTATTATTTGTTTCATTCATATGTTTCTTAAAGCAACATATAGATTTTATAATTTTCTGGTAGAAACATTGCAAATGAAAATACCAAAAGCTAGTTTCTACAGCGTTAATACTACGATAGCGAGACAATTCAAAGAAAAAAAATATTTTTTCCCCTTAAAATTCAGATTTATTTTCCAAGATTGTGTGTAGGGCACGGACCCCCCCCCCTTTTTTTTTTTAAACTATGGTATCACCCACAGCGCGAAAAAGTCTTCCGCTGCACAGTTTGTGTGTTACTGCTTATTGTGTTTGGCTAATATATAAACTATGAGCCGTTGAGGCTTAGGGGATAGAGCATTCGCCTTCCAACGAGGTGAACTGGGTTCGAACCCCAGCGATGACTGGTTGATAACAATTCCGCATGCGGCTTGCTCCGACCACAGTACTAACGTAAATTATCCTCATGAGTATATCGATCATAGGTTAGAGTCCCCTTGCCATCTGGCTAACCGTGATTGGTTTCCGTGTCTTTCCACTCTATGTAACGCAAATGCGTGTTAGTTCAATCAAAAATTTCCCCGCAAAGGCACATTCTCCAAATACTTGATAAAGGAGTTCCCTTGTTTTCTGGATTGATTCAAAATTTCTAGACTAAGACGTTGGATATTAGTAATCGTGAACCTAAAAATTGGGTAGGCTGTTCAACGGCGGTTATAAAATAAAAATAAAATGACTTAGCAACCCAACCTAATAAATCCATGATCGATAGGTCATCATANACCGTGTCTTTACCATCAGTCCACTGCACGACTCTTTTTATTTAGGATGTTAAGTATTTAGTTTTAGTATATGAAAGTAAACAACTACTTTAATTCATGTTTCAATAACGTTTCTTGTTTAATTTTTAAAAACTTTTAGAAAATAATATAAACTAAATAAATTTGAATTTTCGAATTTTGAAATTCGAATTTGAGTATTTGAATTTTCAGATCTTAGACTAGAGCAGAGAAATAATCTTCTAACAATGATGAAAAAAATGCTTGGGGCACAAAATAGTGAGAATTACTGTTCTAATTATTATTTGTTTTGTTCGTGTGTTTCTTAAAGCAAGATATAGATTTTACAATTTTCAGGTAGAAATATTGTAAATGAAAATACCAGAAGCTAGTTTCAACAGCGTTAAGACTAGGGTAGCGAGACAATTCAAAGAAAAATGGTATCACCCGTGGCGCGAAAAAAGACTGCCGCCGCACAGTTTGTGTGTTACTGTTTATTGTGTTTGGATAATATAACGAG